CGTGGGGCCAAAAATGAACGTTACATTGTGTCTCCAGTCATCTAAAAGTTTTCCTAGTCTTCTAATTTGGTGACTAGGTGAACCTACTCCAACTAGTCGTCTAATTTATTCGATCTGCTCTGCAGAAGGAGGTAGTTTTCAAACATAGCAAATAATATTAATAATATAATAAACACTATTTAAAAATACACATAAAAATGCCAGTATGGCAGTGGAGCCTTTAATATACTTAACCTATAAAAATGTGACAATTTTGGAAGCCAACGTCTGACGTTGGCGACATCGCATCGGTATGGTGCTATTGAAACTGTATTTAGGACATCAAAATTAACAAAGAAGACACATTTCCATGGTATGGTCTATAATACATGTTCATTGCTAAAAATGACATGTTTGCCCCATTATGGCGGCCACTTGGCGACGCCCCAGAGGTGTGACGTTTTGAAATCTTTGTTGTACAGTTCATTATTAACAATGATCACGAAACAACAACGTGGGGCCCATGATCCATGTCCACAGTGGAAAAATTACACGTTTCGGAAAGTATGGCGGACCTTAAGTGACGCCATATTGGTAGAGTACGATTCAACTAAGAAAAAGCCACACACATCATACCTGACAAAGACTGCAATAATTTGCCTCTCTCTCAGGTCCATCCCATTTAAGCATCAGTGGCGTTTTGGCGATTTTTTTCGTTTTTATAATATAGAGATACAATTGCTTAATAATTTGGCAACGCTGTACGACTGCCGCATGGTCCAGAATATAATTCGAACAGAATCTATCGCGTAAACATGGATCCCTTATTATTGTGAGCCAAACTTCGGCGTTGCCAAGCTTTTACTTACGAACAAAAATACGGGTTCATTGGAAGAAAGTGAAGACAGCGAACTAGGATGTACTCCTCTAGTTTCACTTTTTGCACTAGTTGCATAAATAACTATTATTTTAATTGTAATAAAAATCTTAAATTACAAAATTGTGTTGCTATTTTTATTTACTTCCCACTGAATGTTTTGCAAGTCTAAAGTCGAAAAATATATGTAATGTTATTTTAGTTTAGTTATTTAGGTAATATACAAATGTTTAAATCATTAAAATTTAACTGTTTAATCCAATAAATGTTTTTTGTTGGGAAACTGCTTTAATTCTTATTTAAATAAGAGCCTACGCCACTGGTATATCGATCTGGAGCAACGGAGAAGGAATATTTTAAAGTGAGGCAGACGATGACTAGTTAATGACGCCCGTGGCTTTTTCTAAGTTGAATAGTACTTTATGGTGTTGAGTTCGCTGTCTTTGGCGATCTCCTTGACAACATAAAACAAGAATCAAAGTGGAGCTTATGATCCAGAGGCATGGATATTAATTACACGTTTGAAAATTCACCCCCCCCCCCTAAAAGCTACACTTTAGGGGTGCCATACCGGGAATTCAAAGTGGGGAATAACATTGTCTATTACCCCCCCCAAAGCCTCGGCGTAGGGCCTATGATACATGCAAAAACCCTCTTGGCTCCCGGTCTAATAGTGTCGCTTGTCCCATATAAATCAGACCCATAATAAGGATGATAGTAACCAATGCCCTTATGACATTGCAACTGCGCATGATATTTTTTTTCACTTCAATAATAATCTACGTCGTCTTCTTCATAATGCCGTTGGTCTCATGCAAATTGGATCAATAATACCGGAGATGTTTACTTTGGCTTTGTTTCTTCTTTTACCTCGTACATTTTCCGGCCGCCATCTTTGATCGCTTTGCCGAGTTGCAAACCCGTTATCCAAATTTCAATCTTTAACACTGATAGGTGTCGCCAGCTCGGGGTAGCGGTTACTTTTGGTACAAGTGGGTTAGCTCTCTCTTTTATACAATTTGATTTAGAAGTGTCAAGTTGAATGGTGGCATTGGTAACTTTAAATTGATTGGTGTTTAGCAAGATAATAGTTGTCAAACAATGGTGATCAAGATATATGGGTTCGGAAATTTAAACGCCAACCCATATAAGTTCTATTAGAGACGAACGTAAGTGGGAGTGAGGTTGAAGTCGTACCGTAGTATTTATTTGTTTTACGCATGGTCCTATTATACCTTGTACAATGCATTGTAAAATAGATGTTTTGCGTTCAGATTTCGGTACCTGTCAATGGATGTTTAAATGTGGTCCTTCGCTCTGTAAAACTGGTGGGATTTTATTATTTACCCACCGAATTTTACTTCTATTTATACATATATCTATTTTGATCAGGGTATGATTCAAATGTCTGTCGTACAATAGCTTTAAGATTAGTGTACAACTATCGGTTTCTATTCTCCACTAATTGCAACTAGTAAATTTTCTGTCAAATTGGATAATAAACAAAATTAAATTGATATTCTATAATTTTCATCTCAAATTTCTTTAATAACTAACCCCGACCCTGTAGTTATCTTGCATACCACCGCAACGTTACAATTAATATTCAACAGCTCGTATCAGAGAAACCGAAGCTGAAGGTATTAAATATGAGCAGAGTTTATGATTAAATGGAAAATTAGTCACGTAAAACTGTCGAGAATATTTTATTCTATTTTTGTTTCTCTAGGTAAATAAGTTATTATGTAGAAACCTAACCAATAATCAGTAGTAACTCTTTCTGGGCGGGAAAAAGAAGCGCCTCTTTTACTATGTTGACCTTAGCGTTGACGATTTGTGGGTATAATCTATGAACTGTCATAAATCCTGTTAAAAACACGCTTATTTTGGACTATAAATATTTATAAAGTAACAGAATCTTTCAGCAGCCCAAATATAAAAAAAATCATTTTCTGAAGACTTTAATAATACAAAAAAGAAAAAGAATATGATATAATAAAAATATTTACTATATCTAGGTCCACAAACCATAATTAATTTAGTTCTAAGTCTGAAGTGTAAATTAAAAATAGCAAGGGTCCCAAAACCGATCCTTGGGTACACCTGATTCGATTTCTCTAAGAGTTGAGGACTGTTGATTGATTACAACTTTTTGAAAGCGATTTTTTAAATACGTTTTAATGAATAAGAGAGGTTTGTCAGTAAAACCATAATAGCTGCATTTAGAAATTAAGAGTAGATGATTTATTGTGTCGAAAGCTTTGGTAAAGTCGAGCAGAGCAAGTGCTGTTGCTTCTTTACTATCTAGGGCTGTAATAATGGTATCTGTTAGATGGCAAAGAGCTGTGGTGGTACTATGTTTTTTGCGAAAACCTGATTGGTGAACCGGCAATAAATTGTTGACACTAACATATTTATAAACCTGATCGTACACAATTTTCTCAAGAACTTTGGATAAAATGGGAAGTAGGCTTATTGGTCTTAATTCAGTATGAGAAATAGGGTTCGCAATTTTTGGAAGAGGTATTACTACTGCTCTTTTCCATTGATCTGGAAAGTAGCCAGTTTCTAGGCAGCAATTTATAATATGTGTCAAATACAACGAGATTGCCGGTAAGCAAAGTTTAATCATTTGAAGAGTAATTCCGTCAGAACCACTCGAATTTGACGCAATACTATTTATTACCCTAATTATAGTATCTTCATCAACAAGTGTAAACTCAAATTTTAAGGAATTATTAACGCGATTAGTTCGGTAGTGTAATATTTTTTCAGCACATGCTTCATTACTATTTTGAAAAATAGAAATAAAAGTATCATTTATTTTGTAAGAATCCGCTAAGTTAGAGGGGATATATTTATCTTTATTACTCTGTATACCCATATCCTTTAATGTTTTGAAAAATTTAGATTTAGATTTAGATTTATTTAGATTTATATAGGCGGTTGTCATATATTGTATTAGGCCTTCCAAACAATTGAACTGTCAGTGGGAAGATTTGATATATCCAAGGGTTGCGACATACAATGTTTTCTGTTTACAATACGTAAAATCATGAATAATGGATTACATTTAAATATTTTATGTCAAACACAATAAAAATAAGATACATTTTTTCATAAATTGGCAGGCTTTGTGACTATTATTTCGAATAAAAAAAAACGTTCAAGATGCAAGACTATGTCTCTACCCCCTTAGATATACCAGACCTTCTCACTGACAGCTATTGTTTGACAGGTCGTTGGAATGCTTAATTGGTAATAGTAAGAGAGCCCACTGCAAATTACGACCGCCATCTGATAAAAAAATGAAATATGCTCCAAAGACATGTAACAACATTGTACTTTACCAAATTGCTCCTGTGCCAATCTGTAATCCAGAGCAAACTGGTTAAAAATTATTTTATATTCAAAAAATTACATAAGACATGACAACGATAATTGTGTTTTCTCTGAAAATTACAATCCTAATTCATTGTGAACCTAGCTTTTAAACCTGAATTATTAATATTTTTACCTAACTTTGGCAGAGATGATAGTCAATAATAATTATAAACTCTTGTTAGACAGTTCTTTTAAACTATAATCATAGTAGTTTTTTTGTCGTTTCTATGACAACCTGTAAAAATTAATCACAACAATAGGCATACAAATAAATTCTTAAATCAGCAAAAATTGATTTATATTTTTAATGATTTTTACCTACTAATCGTGTGTAGATGTTTTTGTGCGATGCTAAGAGGAAGAAAATGTTTCCCGTTAACGATATATATCAAGATATATTTGAATATGTTATTATCTGGAAAACTTTAAGGGCAAACAAAATTAGCGCTGTCATGCCTTATGTGATTTTTTTAATATAAAATATTTTTTTTTTGAACACTTTTTTCAGGATTAGGATTGTCACAGGTGCCATTCGGTAAAGTACAATGTTTTTACAAGCTTTTGGGGTATATTTTATTTCATTATCAGATGGCAGTAAAAATTTACAGTGGGCTCTTGGGCTATTATGATTTGATTCCGTATGCGCCAGGGATACAAATCCGAGTTGCGCAATGTATAAACTGGAACATTGAGATCAAAAGTGCCGACGCAGAGTGAGCGAACTGATTCTTTTAAGCTATAAACTGCGACTTTGTCATATGTATATCAAATTTTGAAATATTTAAAGAATGTCATATTAGTTTTAGCGTTTAAATGTAGTTTTTGAAATTTAAAATGGCGTATAGATGACTTTCAATACAGTTTTTTTAAAATGGTAGGTATTTATTCACAATTTAATTTATTTATTAACCATTTTTCTATAATTTTACTAGTTTTATAACTTTTATATTAACAAGTTATTTTATAGCTAAAAATATCTCCGTAACAATCAGTCCTTGTTTATCTATTAGTTGAGTTTCACATTTCCAACAGTATGAGTAAATTTTTTTAGGCGATTAGAGCATCTGGTAAGAAAAAATGTTTGGATTGCGAGAATTACAAAAGGAAATTAAAGGAAAATGACCATACCGTATCAGCAAGAGACGTTCTCATCGAAATGTTACAAACAGAACTCAAAAAGAAAGAAGGCTTGTATCGAAACGCTATAGACGAACATGAAAAGTTACGGTTTATGCATTGCTCCGTAGTCCAAGACTACACAAATCTCAAAGAGATTCACAAGAAGGTATGTATCTAATACTAAATCGATGAAAAATTAATTATTTATTAAAAGGAACCAAAATGGGTTGTGTTCACTTCGGTCGCATGATGTTTTTTGGCATTATTTTGTACAAAAATAACTATAATTTGATTTGTTTCAGTTAACTGAGGAAAATAGAAAACTTTGCGAAGAAAACCAGAATCTTCTTGCCAAAATTAGAGAAACTGAAAATTTGCCAGAATCATCAATTAAATTTAATGATCAGTTAAGTATAAATAAATCAGATCCACTCTAAAATTATAGAAGTGGCTCACTTATTATTTATATCTTATAGGGGAACCCAGGGCAAAACGAAACCATGGGGAAGAACGGAATTTCCCCTCAACAAATGCTAATATTGTCTCTAGCCTTATAGGAACACACAGGCTAGGGGATCTTTAATAGAGAAATACTAACTCGTGTTATAGTAGTGTGCAACAATCATAGATGGCGTTACTTTACACAAAGGTGCTCGTTGGGTTCATCGAGTAGGTTCAGAGTGTGTTCAGAGCACGTTTAGAGTAACGCAAGCGTACGCAAATTGCTATTCAACACTTTTAACAGCTATTGCTCTATTTTGTGCCATATTAATCCTAATTATTATTTTATTTGTTCACTGTTTTAAAAAGAATTTTTAGGGCTTTGAAATTATGTTGCCAATTTGTCCTTGTTCTGTTCCTGATTGTCAGAATAAAGTTAGTCGCAGGTAAGCAATATATTTAGAATTTTATTTCTTTACAAGTTAAAACTCCTCTTTGTATTTTATTCTTAAATACATTACCAAATATAATAATACTAAAAATTGCCCAATTTGTAGGATTTAAGAAAACATGTGTTGTTCCAATAGATACAAATGTATTCATAGGTGCAGATTTTATGCCATCAGCACTAACTGACATTGACTTAAATCCAATCGTACAAGAAAAAATAGTTGCTACTTCATCTTCTAACATACATTTAAATTTGAATCTAACTCAATAAAAAATTTACTCATCCAAGGAGCTATTTTTATGGCAACAACATGTTTATCTTCATCTCTTCCTTCTTAACAATGTCTACCAGTCCAAAAACTTGCTCCAACTTCAGAAATAAGCTCTACTCTAGAAACACCTACCATCGATGTTTATAAAGAACTCCCCTCATGCATTTTTCTTTGTTTTCATTGTTTTTAAAATTCCTATTTCTCCTTCTGCTTCTTTTCCCGCTATTCCTCTCAAAGTGTTCTTCCTGTATCTAAAATACCAGCTATTTTTAACTTCTCCACCCTACAAAACTAAACTTGAAGCTGTCATTGCACTGAAAAAGCAAAAGCAAGAAAAAATATGGGTTAAAAAAACGTAGACTGTAGCTCTGCAACAACAAAAGTAACCAAAGATAAAGGTTTAAAGCTAAAGAAAAAGATGACACAAGAAAACATTAAAACAGAAAACACATAGATGCAAGCTCTAGTGAAGACGAAAGTGATATAAAATGTTTATATTATGGAAACTTCTTCTCAAAACACATCCAAATGAGGGTTAGGATTGGCTGCATTTCCTGCCATAAATGGACTCATGATTCGTGCGCAGGAGTTGACTCTGAAGATAATGAAATGCAATATACCTGTGGATTGTGTCAATAATTTTCGATTAGATTAGCTCTTAGTTTCTATTTTTATGGGTCACAAATAAATTTTTGAGTTCAGGTTATGTTTCTTTTTCTTCAAATTAAATAAAGAAAAATGTAAAAATAGAATCTGTTCAAATTTTTATCAAAAAAATACAGTTGTTATAATTATTTATCTATGTTTAAAGTTGTTCCGTTTTGCCCCAGACAAGAGTCCATTTTGCCTCGCGCATGGGGCAGAATGGACCCCTTGTAACTTTTTGCTAATTTGTTTTTATTTCATACTTCGACTCTTATTTTTTAAAATTAAACATAAATATAGCAACGAGAATGGACCAAACAAAATAATATAGTATTGAAAGAAATTTTATATCTTTGTGTAATGTTACATGAAAGGTTAGAGATTTCGTTTTGCTCTGGCTTCCCTACAAGGCGGCTAACTTTCAAAATTCAATATAGTGGGATGCATTAAGAATGGCAATCTCTAAACTACAGATAGTAAACAGCAAAATATGGAGATTTAGCCTAACATGCCTTATAAAGATGTTACTGGTTTAAGGGGAAAATTTATTTTGTAATTTCTTAATAACTTTATAAGTTTTAACAGCATGAACATAAAATTTATAAGAAATACGAATTATTATTACCAGCAACACTTTTATGAGGCATGTTGGGGTAAACCTTCACATTTTGGTGCTTACTATCTGTATCTGTTCTTAATGAATTCTTAATGAATTCTTAATGAATTCTTAATGAATTCTTAATGAATTCTTAATGAATTCTTAATGAATTCTTAATGAATTCTTAATGAATTCTTAATGAATTCTTAATGAATTCTTAATGAATTCTTAATGAATTCTTAATGAATTCTTAATGAATTCTTAATGAATTCTTAATGAATTCTTAATGAATTCTTAATGAATTCTTAATGAATTCTTAATGAATTCTTAATGAATTCTTAATGAATCACCCAGTATATTGTATCTCGTAGGCTACCATCAGATATGTGAAGTTACTCAAATAACAAAAGTAGTATGCTTCTACTACCAATTTAGTGATATTCTAAAATTACTTAATAATGTCTTTTCAATAACAATAAAAAAGTGTAATCTTGTATTTTCGAAATTTCCTACATTCCTAGACTATTTTAACGATTTGACAACACTACATGGTCGTAACATACTACTGCCTTACCTTGTATATTTTATTAACGTAATATTTCAGAACCTGCGAACCGTTCGATAAGAAAGACATCAGCAATATCAGGAACGTAGCAGATGGAATTAGCAACATCCAAAATATTATGCAATGTCAAAATAAGTCTCTTCGCTCCATGCTCGTCCAACTCCTGGATGAACTCAAAAAATCCAGATTGGAGCATTCTCCAGAAAGGGTCAACCAAAATGTAGAAAATAAAGACAACAGTAACGAGACCAACGAATCGTTAAAAAAAGAAATTGAAGATTTGAACTCCTACATAGAAAAATTGCAAAAAGAGAACAAAAAGATCAAAGAAAACTTGTACGAAAAGCAAGTCAGTTTGAAAAATTGTTTAACCGTTTTGGAGAACAACAACTCGGATATCGACAACCTGTCTAAACACGTAGAAGGTTTATGCAGACAAAGAGACAAATACGGCGACCAAGTAACTGCATTGGAAAATGAATTGTTATCAAAAGAAAACGAAATATCTAAATTAAAATCGGAAACGGAACAAATAGAAAACGTGAACTCCAAACTCAACCATGATATTTGCTCCCTCAAATCCCAAATAGACACATATTCATCGGAATATAAAAAATTAAAAAGCGAAATCAATAATACGGTAGAAGATAAAACAGAATTGGAGAACAAAGTAAATGAATATCAAACGCAGTTTGAGCAAATACAAAACGAACTACAAGATAAGCTGAAAGAATTTGAAGATTACAAAGAAGACATGCTAGTTACTATAGATCAATTAAAGAACGATCTAGAGGAAGCTAGAGTTGAACAAGACTCTAGAGGAATCCAATGTACATTCAACCGACCTGTAACATGTAATACCTCTACACAAGAATCTCCCATCATGAAAAATAGAACTGCACAAAGTTTTGAAGATTGCTTGAGTGTATGTTACAAAAATACTCAAGTAGACGATTTAGAGATAACCGGTTGTTGCAAGAAACCCTTTGATAAGGAAATGATAGAGCTAGAAGTCCACAGACAAGAATTACAAACGTTAGACAACGAATTTTTGCAGTACAGATGCGTAATGGATTACAGAATTCAATCGCTTGAAAAAGATAATAACGAATTAAAAGAAACCATTTCTACAATATCCAACGACCACGAAAAGAACCTAAAAAAAATTGACGAGGAGTACCATAAATGCAAACATGATTTAGATACTAAAATAAGGACTTTAGAAGAGGACAACTCAATTTTGAGAAATTCGTTAGAACAAGAAACGAGCTTGATTAAATTTGAGCTGGAGAAAGTCAAAACCGAGAATAATATCTACGTGTGCCATTGCAAGAACAAAATAAATGAAATAGAATTGGAAAATTCCGGTCTGAGAGACAAGCTCAGCAATATGGCTGACGAAAATCGGGACAACTTAAAGAAACAAGAAGAAAATTATTGTATATGTAAACATGCTTTTGAGGTTAGAATTAAACAGTTAGAGGAAGAAAACAAACACTTAAGAGATACTTTAGACATCGTAACTACTGATGATAACAAATCAATTGAAGATGATTTTAATACATTAAAAACAGTCCTTGAAAACAAAATACGTTCATTAGAAAAAGAAAACAATTATCTCAAAGAATTGGTAAATTCCACCACCAAAGATTATGAAGCTAAGTTAACAGCAAAGGAATCTGAGTTAAAAGAACTGTCAAAAGAAACGGATCAGAATCAAGCTACTATTAAAACCTTAATAGACGAACAGAATCAGTACCTACAAAGCATTATCTACCAGGTACCAAACAGCGATCAAAATGCCACCGATATGGGAGAAAATTGTGACTTAAAAACTGTTTTGCAACTTAAAATTAAACATTTAATCGATAATCAATTAAAATTAGAGCAAAAACTAGCAACAGTTAGTTCAGAAAATTTGTCTTACTTAAACACAATCGAAGAATTATCAAAACCTATGAACAATCAAAAATATACGGTCCTAACTTGCTTATTGGACCAAGTAGATAAAGTCAATCAAACAGACGAAATTAAAGGGATAGAAAATGAAACTAACGAGTTAAAAGAAGAATTCAATGAAATGCAACGGAAGGTGCTGTCTCTAGAAATGGAACTGGAAAACGCAAACTTGGAGTTAACAGAATACGAAGAAGAAAACAGAAGCTACTCGCAAAGATTGCAAATCTTAATGAATGAAATTAGCTCCTTACAGGAAACGAAACTACACGCAGATGCCGACATCAATGATTACAATCTGAAACTTATCCAATTACAGGAAGAGTTCATTGTTCTTAGTAGAGACAGAGATCAGACCATAACGGAGCTGAACTACAAAATTACCGAGTTGGAATCTAAGCTCGTAGATTTCGATTGTAACGTAAGCAAACTCAAGGAATCAAAGAAAGAAAACGAACAACTTCAAAATAAACTCGACG